TTCTCTCTTTTCTCCCCCCCCTCCCCTCCCCCCCCGTCGGTAGAAACACTCACCGTCTACTGACAAGCTTCATGCAGAAATCAAAACAGAGGCATGTGGGCAGAGTCTCCAAGGCGTGGCTATGGTCACCATGCACATCATCTTGAACTCCATAATGCCTACCATTACAGTAGGGAATATTCGCTACTACACCTTCCCCTACTCCTAAGTCAGACTTGTACTAGGTAAGTGAAAACTTCCACAGGCTGCCAGCCTCAACAAGTGAGAGAGCTGAATGCTGAACTTGGCCCAGCGCTCAAATATGTAGCAAGGCTGGAGCCTAGTGTACTGATCCCCTCTGCTCCAGGCTGTCAAGATGCAGCACGATCAACAATCAGAGAGGGAGGCGGAAGCGTAAAGTCTGCTCCGTGGGACCTGTAGTCAGCTGGGACCTGCAAACGATGGCCAGGCAGTGATGCTGCATCCGCAACCTCCTCTGGCCCCCCACAACATAGTCTACTTTAGTGAACAAGGCCTTAGATGACAGCACTGTGGACAACCAGCTGAGGTCAGTACCTCCTATCACTGAGGGACACCATAATCAGACCGTAAGGACAGAAACGAGTACCAGTCCTACGATGGATAAACTCCAACCAGCCACATCTGAACAAAAGCACAAGAGAGAAAAACAGGTTCCAGTCCTAAAATGGACAACTCCGAACAGACACACCAGAACAAAAAGACACAGCTAAAGCAAGAAAAGCAAATGCCTGCTGAGTCGCAGGACTGCCAAATGGCGACTCAGCACCTATGCCAGAGGGATGGATTAATGCCAATGTAATGGTAGACATAACACAAAATAAAGTGAAAGCGTGAATCCGAAGACAGGCCAAAATACCGGCCAAGCCTCCAAGGTATGACCTTGGCCCCCAAATAATAACTACCGGGTTGGGCCACATTTTCCGCCATGCTTGGACTGCACCATGATCCTGAGTGTTCAGTGTCCTCCCACTCAGTTGAAGACTTTCCAGCTGATGTCCTGTCTACACCGATTAGTACCACTGGCATTCATCTGGGCGTACGCTGATGGCAAGGGTCAGTGCTTCGCCTCCCTCAGGCCTTTCTTGATCAGAATGGCCAAGAAGAAGAAGAAGAAGAAGAAGAAGAAGAAGAAGAAGAAGAAGAAGAAGAAGAAGGGGGGGGGGGAGTGCAACAAAGCCAAGGAGGGGGGGGAGTTAAAGGAATAGATGTAGAACCTTTCACCTACTTACCCGCCTACACTATTATGATTTGCACTTCCTGACATTCCTCGACCAACAGCCAACAGATTCTGACTGAGTGTGCCCTCTTGAAGGCCTTATGCATCCAACGTCAATCGATCCGGGGAGGAGTTGAAGGAAGAGATGTAGAACCTTTCACCAACTTACCACCCACACTATTATGATTTGCACTTCCTGACGTTCCTCGACCAAGAACCAACAAATTTTGACTAAGTGTGCCATCTTCAAAGCCTCTTGCGTCCAACGTCCATCGATCCATTGTGTCGCAATCAGATGCATACACATTTTCGGATGCGGAAGGATGAATTGCCACAGCCACACAACTGGTTTTCGTTGCACCTCCGTCAATCCCAAGGACCACATTCGGGCCATCCTTCCAACTCCATTTGCTGGCCAACTTTACGTCATCAAACCAGAGGGCAGCAGCTTCAGCTGATGCTGGTAGTATCACGGATGGCATGAATGTGTCCCCTTGGATCTGCTGCTCCTCCATACTTGGGGCCAATCAAGTTCAGATGCTCCCACGGTGCCCAGCTCCTTCTCCTTGGTTCTGTTGCAATAGCAGCCATTCCAGATGAGGTGACCAAATCTCTCATCACAACACAACATCGTCAAAGCAACCAAACAAGGTAGAATGAAATCAGTTGTGTGTTTTTTAAGCATACTCCTTGCCGGGGATGAGCAACCGGACTGACGCCCCCCAGAATAGACGGGGCACCCGCGTGTATGTGGTTTGTGTGACTATTAAACTCATGCTTGTCGTGATCCCCGTGAATAAGCAACTGGAAAGGAGCCCCACAGAGAAGAAGGGTGAGGTGTGGGTGAGTGCAATAAAAGAAAACAAAGAGAGTAAGGGAAACAACTTCCAAAAGTTTAAGACTGCAGATTTGCTTTGTTCCAGTCGGTCTTGTTGCGGTTACTACCGGTAGTGGGCTAGTTTTCCTGACAGTCATGCTTTTCGCAGACGATCTTGCCGTGCTCACCAGAGCAAGAGATACATAGTTTGAAGTGCTCACAAGGGCAATGCAAGCATTCCAACTAGCACTGGAAACGAGGATTAACTGGAGAAAGATAATGGGTTGGTGGATTGTGGATTCCCACCACCAGCACCAACAGGGGATCTACGGGAACCGTTGTGTTTCTTGGGAATATCGACTACAATTGAGTAGGTTAGTGATAACAAGCTAAAACGCGTGCCACGGCCCTGCCTTTACGGGTAAATGAGTTACAAAATAATACAAAGGTAGAATGTGGACATAAGGTACTGGCAGGGAGAGAGGACGTGGAATGTCATATTGAGAAGTACAGCACAGATACAGTGTCTTGCATTTTTTTTATGACATAAACATCACATGGATATAAGAGAAACTACTGTCATAGAGGCAATAAACATGACATGCGTACAGCAAGCGTGCCTTTTTCCCTGTGTTTGTGTCTCTGTTTCTATCTGTCCATGCCCCTCTATTGCTCTGTTTTCTCTTTCTGTCACAAGCTAAGCTTTCACCTGTCTGTCTGTCTGTCAGCCTGTCGTTCGGTCGGTCGATCGGTTGGTCAGTCCGCCAGTCGCTCAGTCAGGCTGTCTGGCTGTCTGGCTCTTGGTCTGTCTCTATGTCTATCTGTCGTCTGGCTATCAGGCTGTCTGCTTGTCTAGCTGCCTGCCTGCTCTCTCTCTCTCTCTCTCTCTCTCTCTCTCTCTCTCTCTCTCTCTCTCTCTCTCTCTCTCTCTCTCTCTCTCT